GATGGCATGGCACTCTCTAATCATAAGGACAAAGCGGAAGTTTTCGCCTGCACTTTTGAAAAGGCATATGTTCAGAGCGCATCACAAGATTAAACTGATCTCTCCGGGCTAGACATGTTTCATGTTACGACTGATTCCGTGTGGGTTCAAGCTGATGACCTGCTCTCGCTGGCCTTAGTCCTGTTCCCTTAACTCCTGATGAAGTACCGTTACATTTTATTAAGAACGTTCGCTCATGTCATCGTTGGACCGCTTCAATATATTTTTAATCTTAGTTTCATGAGAGCAGAAGTATCGTTAAGATGGAAAATGGCCTACGTAACTCGTAACTAATGAAAAATTCTGAAGAAAAAAATTGGAGCGCATATAAGGGAACACACCACAATTTCACCGTTTCAGCACGGGTTTCAGAAAGGGAAGTCCACTACTACCGCACTACTGCAATCGCTTAACGACTGGACCGAAGATGAAGGAGTTAGTGTTGATGTCGTATACCTTGATTTTTCTAAAGCTTTCGACCGGGTCGATCACGAAAAGCTGATCACCAAGCCCTCCCTGATTGGAGTTCATTTCCGGATTATTTCTTGGATCCGTGCCTTTTTAAGTGACCGTCAGTTCGTAGTTCGAGTCAATGATACCTTTTCTTGTCCACGAAAGGTGCCTAGCGGGGTTCCTCAGGGTGGCGTCCTTTCCCCTCTCCTCTTCAACATTTTTACGTTTGAGTTACCTCGTCTCATCACCAAATGTGGTGCTCTATGCACAGCATTTGCCGATGTCGTAAACTTATATTGTCCTGTGCGCTCGTTGGAGGACTGCTTGCGCCTTCAGAAGTCCGTTGACACTGTTAACAGCTGGTCTAAGAAGTGGGGTCTACCACTGTCAAGAGAGAAAACTAGTGTTCTACATCTTTCTCCAAAGAACGATCAATTTACTTACACCATAGAAGGCGTTCCTATCAACAAAGTGGAGCATACAGAGAGATCTGGGCTCACAAGGAACCTCTCCTTCTAACGCTCACTGCGAGGAGATTGCTCGAAAGGCTACCACAGTAGTATATAAGTTGTTCAGAGTCCTCACTACGAAAAACACTGCAGTCCTGTTACGCGCTTTCAAGACCTACGTCAGGCCCATACTGGAGTACGGCACGCCTGTTTTTAATCCACATAAAGCTAAATCTATACTTGCACTTGAACGAGTTCAGAACTCATTCACGCGAAAACTGATGATAAGGGCCTTGGGTTTTCTATATGATGGCATACCCCCTAGTACGGAAAGGAACAAAAATTTTTAGCTGCACACACTTTCGTACAGGCGAAGAAAGCTTGATCTCATTCTCTTTCATCAAATTCTACATGGTTTTTGCGGTCTCAACCCTGATCAGTTTTGTGCTGTACGGCCTTCTTTCGTTGACGTTGCTGGCGCCCGCTCGAGCAATTCGATGATCAACGGGACGACAGGTGATACGGCCTTCTTTCACCAGAGGGGACCTTATTAAACGGCTCATTCCGCGAGCTAAGCGTAATCTAACATAAGGTTTCATTTCTTCAAGTAAAGGATCGAATGTCCTCTTAGCATCCGTCCCCTCTTGACTACTCAGCAGGCCTCGGACGCGTCCAACCAAATCACATAAAATCCGAACATCATAAAACAACAAGCTTCATATTCGTATATGACATCAAACAGACATAAGGCAATGAACGATGTGAGCAGGATAGGAAAACGGAGATCACAAAGAAGGTAGGCAAGTGAAGGATCGGAAACTTGGTCTCCCGACCAGGGTCAACCCTACGTTGGTACAAGTACCAACGGGGGGGGTCGTACTTGGTTTAGCTTGGAGGGGGTCGTACCCACTTTAGTCGCTCGAAATCACGTGTGGGATTGAGGTGAAACTAAGATTAGTAGGCTGGGCGAGTGGAGGGCGCGCAGGATAAAAATTTGCCGTTTCAGCGGGCGTATATACCCCCCTAGAAAAGGAAGTAGTGGGAGTATAGGTAAAAAATGGGTTGAAATGGTGGAAATAGAAGGAAATTTTCGGAGATATTTACCGTTTCAGAGTGACTATATACCCCCCCCCGCTCGACGGCATTTTTGGAGGAAAAAGTGGGCGGGGTTTTGATGGAAGATGGAGATGGTGGAGGTAGGGAAAAGGGGGTCGTATCAAATCCAAGGGGGGTCGTATCAAATCCACTTGGGGGAGGGGGGTCGTAAAAATTTTTCGAAAAGTAACAACGATAGGACAGACCCTGCTCCCGACCAGTCGCGATACGGTTCCGACGGCAGAATCCTCGTTGTTCCCCTCGTCCTCGCTCCGCCCCTTCGATCGTCTTCGAACCGTCCGACATCTGGAAACATAATGCCTAAGCGATCAAAAGTAAACATAGGATGTCTAGGTCTAGAATAAGCTGATGACCTAGGTAGATAACATAAAGAGAGAATAAATGTAAACAGACCATTATTTGAATTACCCTAACCGTTACATCTCCCCCCTTTAGCGAAGTCCGTCCTCGGACTTAGGGTTGAATAGGAGGTCGAAGGGAGTTATCAAAGAAGTGAAGATCAATCGTTAGGCGTTTCTTTCGACACCATCCAAACACTCTATTCCGAACGGCTGCAGCTTGGAGGTAAGGCAGATAACCTAAAATAAACATACCGTCTTTAGCACAAGAGAGCGCCACGTTCTAGCGTCTCACATCCGAAAGAAGGAAGTCGCGGCCGTGGGCTCCACCTCTGTGCGTGTGGTACACAGGATGATCACGGAATTCTCTTTTCCCTGTGCGCTGTCAACCGTGATGTCTGTCTGCTGTAAAATACGCTCACATAGTAGCTTTTGATCACGGTACAGGCAGATCACCATGATTTGCGCTGGCGCAAAACCTTTAGCTAAAAGAAAGCGCAGAAGTACATGAGCTGCGGTGGCCTCTACGATATTGCTATGAGAGCCAGTGACCGACTGCACAGAATATGATGGGTATTGATGAGTGCCACTGGAATCCTAGGGTTTGGCATTGTGACCCGTGAGAGCAGACGCTTGACGGAGGGATGTCGCAGCACCACAAGTGAGTGAACCGTCGTAGAAGAGTCGTGAGTTGAGATACATCATCTCTATGTGAGGACGGTAAACCGTTCGTAGATGACATATTGGTGTCCACTCGTGGTTCGTAACCAAATCGAGTTTGCTATCTCCGATGAGCGTAATTCGCGCTTCTGGGAAGCGTGATATTAGCGTCATCGGAGTCGCCTCTGGCACCATCGATGCCTCATCTAAAATGAACCTGTACCACGGAGTACCAATCGTGTACCACAAGCCTTTCTTGCGAGTAAGATTTAACGCGGTAGAGACCGTGCAAAGGTACACATTGGGTTTATATAATTTAATAAACTTACTAGTGAGCACCTTGAGGCCCCATGAACGTTGCATCCTTCCAAGAACAACAATTTTTTATATTCTTCATCTACGACCTTAGTTTGCGTATTAGAGAACATGAACTCACGTAGCTGTCGACGCTCGTCTGAAAACCGCTTGAACCGTTTGTAGTGGTCGTCATCTAATAAATGACGATGCGTACTATGGAAATTCTCCATGAGCGTATGCAGAGCAAACGGCGATTGTTGCAGCGTACCCTGAGCAAGGATTTCGCTGACATAACGCACAGCACGGATGTGTTTCGACTGAAGCTCAGCGATTTTCGCACCAATTACATCAAGTGCGATATTTCGAACAGCTGTAACGAGAATGATCTGCCGCTTTTTGACCTACTCCTCACCCATAATCGCCGCACATACCGACTTACCTGCACCATATGCGCCATCCACGATTTGGACAGTACTCTTTATTATACGGATTGACCGCGTTAACCTGGTCAGCATTAAGTTGTATTTGCGATCCTACCACTGTGACAGTGATGGCATTGTAATCCGGAAAATCACACCCAGTTACCTGTATATCTCCGAATTAAAGGACACGAGCCGCCAACCAACCTAGTTCATCTGTGGCATGCAAGAGTATTCGATTAGAGCAAGCCCGAGATTGGCTCGCTCGTCCATGGAGGACAGCTCCTACTGCGATTCGTCCATTTCGTGACGAAAGGAGGTACGCTCGAAACCGAACACCATCGGATGTCTCCAGTTGAGCAGTGACATCGAGGTATTCCTCTTCCATCTCGATGTCGATGATTTGTGCTCGCATCAGGATCGTTTTCGTACGCACCCTGAATGGGACGGCCGACAGCCCAACCTGTTTTCTTAGAAATAGTTATACGAAAAGTTGCTAAAATAGGAAACCTGTTGATGTTGGTGAATATGAGCAGATAAAAGCGAATTTTTGGAAAGATATGAAAAACTCGAGGAAAATCGTAATGAATGGGAGTCGATTGACCGAGATCAACGGTTGCAGGGATTTGATCCCGCAGAATAACGGCATCATTGCGGGTGACGCTGTGCCGAGGAAAAGCGAGGGAAAAATGATTCAAAAGAAAAAAAGGTATAGTATGAGTGCACGAGTAGTAACACTTATGGTGACGAAAATGCAGCATATGGTGACCCAAGGCTGATAGGGGTACCTACAAGGGTAAGATAGGTTTATCGAGAGATGTGTGGCGACAAGAGTGGAAGAGGAACTGTCCTCGCCATCTGGAGGATGAGTCCCGAGATGAACGTCCGGGGTAGCCTGGTTTCCCTCTATCGCTAACCATAGTTCACTGAATCCTATGTTGGGCGCAGATTCGCTGATATTTGTCAAAACGAGCTTGTGGAAAACTGTGAAGGCTGGTTTAACAACAGCGAGTGGAGGATCGTCCGTCTGGGGAATGTTAATAATGAGCGAAGGTGCAATTATTTAGTAGGTGACAGACATGGGGTAAAACCGAGTAATGCATGCATTATGGGCAAATTCAAACATCATTTTCTGCTTACACTCTATGGGTGATACATTATGTGGATAAAATGCGTGTAACTGGATCGAGAAATGTTTTCCAATAGGACCCGTTGGGAAGAGAAACCCGCACTGCCGGAGATGAGAAACACGAGGAATTAAATGGCAGTAGCTGGTACATGGAGCCGCTAATAGGGGCACATGACTTAGTGCGCACAATTTTGTCTCCTACAAGTGTCGCCTCGATATCGGAACGCCGCAGAATCTTGCCCATCATTAGCATGGGTTGGGTAGAAATTGCACTGGAGATGCACTCAAGGATTTACCGATTTACAATGATGAAGAATTGAGTGATGGAAAGAGGTGTTGAGAGAGTGCTGTAAACCGTTTTCCACTGCTAATAGTTTTGCCGCCAAGTGGTTAGTAGTAGCTACCCACTTGTTGTAAAATAGGATTCATGATGGCTTTTTTTCAATGACCCTTGGTCTGCAAAATTTCGATACCGTAACCCTGATCTGTGACAACGAGTTGATGATTACAGTCATGTAAGACGGGTCCAGATGAAGAGAAAGAGAGAGCAAATTCTTTGGACTCACTGAGCCACACATTGTCAATCAAAGTGCCTTTCATGGGCGAGACTAATACATACCTGCACTGCTCATCCTTTTCCGGTGTCCAAATGACGGCTGCGCCAGCTGAGGTGGTACAGGATCCATCCTTGTATTGACAGCCAGGTAGTGGTCCAATAGGGCTTTCGATCGTAGGAGAGCCGTGATATGCGAATACCTTAGTCTGAAATACCACACAATTGGTAACCGTCACCGTGTTTTCGGAAACAACAATGGAAAGGCGCGGATAGCCATTCAATGTGAATAATGTTAAGAGTCTTCCACACAGTTCCTACAGCTAGGAGATCCCCGTAAGCACACGACTTATGGCGTACCATATGCTGACAGACTCCTACAGGTACAGCATTCTCATGTGTAGAGACACTTTGCGACCGCGCACCAAAAAGTTCACAGAGTACACAACAGTTTGCGAAATGATGCTGCACACGTGTGCAGGACGCCAGGGCCAAAATTGTCAGGCAAGTGTCTGTCCATGCAGGTATTTTGCTGAACGTTGAAGGTTTTCTTTGTTGTTCACCGTCATAATCATCGGAAAGTGTTGTGTTCTGAGTTGCGAACACTTGATCCGCTAACGCATTATTTCCTTTTAATGAGCGCTGCTATGCGGGCATCCTTGTCCTCTTCGGATACCGTGGCAGCACATTGACCCTCCTCATTTGAGGTGTCCGCTGCGAGCACTGTGCTCCGTCTACGTGGTTCCACACGACCCGCATTTGTGCGGGGATATCGTAACCCTGATTCATGTTACGGGAAACGCGGGAAAAGTTCTCGTTTTGAGTAGTATTTTTGTTACGCGGCGCCGGTAATTGCGGGGGTTGCAGGCCGGCTGGTGGCAAGCTATAGTGACAAAAGGTCTGAAAATGACCTCTCCTTTTGCAACGGTAGCAAACGATGTCCGAGTTAGGTGCCTTTTCCCAGAACCTCTTTGATCTATTATTGCTAGGATAATAAGTCGAAGTTTCCTACGTTGTTGTCTTGGAATATCTTTGTCGGTATTGGTCCGGTCCAGTGGAGCGGAGGTATTTCGTGCGGCTACCACACGAACAGGTGGAGGAGCGGTAGGCTGGGTGCCAGGAAAAATGGTAATGGCACTTGCCACATCATTTAGAAGGGACTCATATGTAGTGGCTTTAACCACAGCCTCTCAAAAGTAAGCGGATTTGCGGCTTTCGACATGGAATCTGAGCGTTGGTATCAGTCTGTCCTGGAACTCATCCAAAAGACGCTCATTTTGTGCGTGCTTAGGCTGTCCCCGAGTCACTTTCTCAACAATCTGCTTTATACGGTCGGCAAATTCGCGTGCGCTTCCTGTCGGACCTTGCTTACAGTCGGAGAGTTGTTGCCTAGCCAAACTCCGAAATTGCGGCGGCTCAAATGTGCGTGAAAATGGTTTATTACTGCCGCATACGAATTTTCATCAGTGTCCGACAGATCGTGGATAATATCCCGTTCTCCTCCTTCCAGAAATCCGACCAAGGTGTTAATACGGAGTTGGTCCGGTAGTGGGGGACTGACCATTCGAACCACATCCTCAAATTTTCTCAACCAACTCTCAAAATCCTGATCGTCAGATCCAGAAAAACATTTAATCGGTTTAGGTGTGAGCTGCCCGTAGGTCAGGCCACAGATGGGTGTAGCCACAGGATCACCCTCCATGGAAGGGTTCTCCTGAGAACGGCCTGAAGAAGTTGCCTTATTAGAAGTTGGGGTAGTACGACGGATGGCAATGACTGATGAGATAGATCTTGTGAAGCAGGCAAACTCCTAGTTGAACGTTGCGAACGTGTGACAGCTAGACTAGTGATGAAGTGAGCGCGAGGAGAGTATCCTCTTGAGAAAACAACAGTGAAGAAGGCAGATAAGTGCCTCTATACTGGTGTAACATTACGTTCCTTATCGGCATTCGTCATCGCGTCATCGCAAGTTGATGTTTCAATTTGCGATGGGAACTGTTTTCAAAGCGCTTTGTTTGATTCGTAAAGCTTGGGAAAGCGCCAGAAAAAATTTCAGGCATGCGCGGCCAAAGAAAGAACAACGCGATTATGTGTCAGCGCATGCGTTCTCGAGATGGACTGCGAGATAAAGAGCTTTGTCCCGATGGGGTACTGTAGCTGAGACTTTTCGCCCGACCATGGTTTGAATTTCTATGAAAAGATGATAGAAGAGGCTTGCATGCGTAGTCGAAATATACAGGATGGCGCACATAATATCGGAATGGAGAGAGTCGCGAAGAAGTTTCGAATAAAGGATTTTATCGAGGAGCTGCCGCCTTTGAAGGAAACGACTGTCATAATTACACAACTGTGAAAAGGAAACTCGACTCGAACTTATTGTTAATAGAAAAGTGAAGTACATGTGTGTATTGGGTTCTATTTTGGTTTCACTTGTTTACCTTCTTGGAAATCTTTTAGCAACTTATTAGCAATCCTTATGACTGTTTCCACCCGGGTGTAATCTGCATTCACTTCACAACGAGTAATTCACCGGCTAATACATAACTGCATTAAATGCAAGGAAAGCGAAAATGAGAAGGAGAAGATGAAAAAAAGTGCGTCAGAAGTTGGGCCAGACGACTGGCGCTATTCACCTGAATTTCACCGATCCTGTCGCCCCCGGTAGAGGCCTTTACCGGTCATTTCACGTGCTAATCCCGTGAGGTCCAACTTCTAATAAGAGGACAAGTTCGGTGAATTGCGGGGTACATGACGCCGCACTCGCTGCTACCAGTAAAGGATTGGATGTCCTCTTAGCATCCGTCCCCTCTTGACTACTCAGCAGGCCTCGGACGCGTCCAACCAAATCACATAAAATCCGAACATCATAAAACAACAAGCTTCATATTCGTATATGACATCAAACAGACATAAGGCAATGAACGATGTGAGCAGGATAGGAAAACGGAGATCACAAAAAAGGTAGGCAAGCGAAGGATCGGAAACTTGGTCTCCCGACCAGTCGCGGTTCCGACGACAGAATCCTCATTGTTCCCCTTGTCCTCGCTCCGCCCCATCGATCGTCTTCGAACCGTCCGACATCTGGAAACATAATGCCTAAGCGATCAAAAGTAAACATAGGATGTCTAGGTCTAGAATAAGCTGATGACCTAGGTAGATAACATAAGGAGAGAATAAATTTAAACAGACCATTATTTGAATTTCCCTAACCGTTACATTCACAATAAGAGCTGGCACGGACTATTTCAACCTTGCTAGATCTACAGCCTTCCCACTAAGTGCATATACTTTCAAAAACTCACTCGACCGTCACTTGGTTCCATAGAGTATTTTTTATATATATTTTCATGCCATTTTTATGCCATCCATATATGTATCCTATTTTTCAATTATTTCATGATTCGAAGTTACAGTTTTTTTTTTCAACTCAGAATTTTTTTGTTTTTCCATTGGTCACTTGGTATCACGGTACTGTTTCACTGATATCATATGAGTTCTACCTCGTGCAATAAATATATACAGGGTGGCTACTAAATATTGGCGCATGGTTTATTGATCATATTTCCAAAAAGAGAAGCTATCATATCTTCAGAAGTTTATTTTCATATACAATAAAACATGAAAATTCATTACCAAAGAAAGTGCTCGAGATGGCCCTTTGGCGGCGATACAGGCTTGAAGTCTCTTTTCAACTGACATCAACCAGTGGCCTAGTAGCTACCTCGCGGTGACGTGATAGATCTTCAGACCCAGAAAGCGCGTCACGATTCACAAACGACACTCAGTTGTTGACAGCTGGGCTACACAACAATCTGCTCGACCTTGTGTACACACAAGAACCGTTTTTCAGTTGTCATGGTTTGGGCAGGACTTACTTCTGAAACCATGACACTGCTTGTCTTTGTGGATGAATACATCAAAGCCAGCGCCCAGATCTACACGGAAACAATTTTCACGTGATGCCCTTCTTTCAAGGACTCTTTTGACCTTCAGCGAACGTCATTGCATTCTTCAGCAAGACAGGGCGCCCTCCACATGCCGCAAAATCAATGTTGGAGACGTGACCATGTTTGTTAATTCCAATTACCGTCAGAAAGGTTGCAAAAACAACGTTGCCAATTATAGACCCATATGTTTGACTAGCTCTATCAGCAAAGTCATGGAAGCGTATACTGTGTCGAAAAATCAGCGATTTCTTAAACGGAAAGGAAACTACTCCACAACAAGCCAGCATGGGTTCTCAGGCGGCAAATCCACTATCTGCATTGCTGTCCACAATACCTCTGTGGCATAGAGAAATTGACAAGGGGCGCTTTGTATCAGTCTGTTACATCGACTATG